CTGCTCTGAGCCTGGCAAGCTACCTTCAGACATGCTTTGAGAGGGACTGTTCCTTGGAGGACCAGCTGGAGAGGCTGAGATCTCTGCAAGTGCTTCTAGGACAAGAAGAACAACCTAAGGAGAAATGTAACCATTATAATCTAAGTTACACATTGACACAACATTAACTATTAGTCCAGAGTCAACCATGACCCCACTGGGCCTCTCTTACCTCATCTGATGGATCTGACAATGTCTTCAAAAGTTCTGGGAAAAGCTGCTCAATTTGACCAAATATCTGCAACATATTTCAAATGTTTGTGCAAGTGTACAGTCACACAAATAAAGAAAAGTTTAGACTATGATTAACTGAGAATAGCACTTTATACATCCTACTAGAAAAACCCTGCACAATGTGACTGTGAGACTGAAGCACTCATTTTCAAAAGAAAGGCCAACTTTCTCCCTTTCACCCTACGTCCATCAAGCCTCTCTAATTTGCCTATTTGAAAACTACTCAGAAAGTTGTGACTCTAGAGTCCACCTAAATCCTTGGCTTAATTGCTATTATACTAGTTTTCTAAAAACGCTGTTGGTGCAATCAAATGGCTGCAAAGTAAAATGTGTGAAACTAAGCCTCTATCAACAGAGTTTCTTCAACATAAAAATGATATTGAATAATCCACGACAGTAAGACCCACCTTGTTTGGTGTCTTCATGTGAAGCAATAACACCCATCGTAAAACAGCTATCCTGGTTTGTATAGACTTATGTGATAGCTGCACTGTTAGCACATCTACTACAGGGCCAAGATCCAGCTGAGTTTGAGTTTGTGGCTGTACAAAATCATTGTCACAATCCATAGACACAGTGTCACTATCAACATCCTTATCATCATCTTCTGTAATTAGTCGCATTAGGCTTTGATTGACTGTCTTGGCCACCTCTTTGATATGTGGATAACTGTCAAGGACAGAACTTTGATTCATGATTAATTAAGAAGTCTAAAATGCTCAGAGTTACCTGTCAATATTATCTGGCATATAGAGCAAATACATCTGCTTGAGAGGCAGCTCTACTGAGAATGCTGGAGGCTGACTTTGCAGACTCCTACCATGGCACCAGAGGAAAACTGAAGCACAAAGGCGGAGAGAGTAGGGGCAGGTGGGTTACAGGAAATGGGAAAGTAAAGGGAGGCATGCACAAACATTTGCAATTCACAAGGGGACATGAAAGTCATAGGGGCAACAGTAACGGGAGTAGGGGGGGAGCAAAACTTTCTCCCTGTCCCCCTTTTGTCTCCTTCCCACAAATAGAGTAATTCACCAAAGGACATGAGAGTTAAAGGGGCAAAAGGTGAGAAAAAACTGAAAAAAAATTATTTTTAATCAAATTCGTATGGAAGAAAGAGGGTCTTTAAACAAAGTCATGATAACAGTCAAAAAGGATATTCTGTTTATCTTGATCATATGCCATACAAGGTAATATTGCTTTTAAAATTCCTGCATTAAAGGGCAGCATAGTCCGTCCTGATAGTGTGATGAACTCCCTTAGCCAAGTGATAGCAGTAAATTGTATGACCTCATCTGCAAAAATGACAATATTTTCATTGCTATAACCATGTTCTTGTTAACATCATCAAGACTGTCTAATAACTGAGGTTCCACAGATAGCAACTTGAAAATGACTATCATACTACCCTCTGACTGTGAGTGAATAACCAAAATATTGACCATGTCAGCAAAATTGATGTTCTTGGTTTCTCTCTTGATTCCTCTCAGGAACTCACCAAGTGCTGTTTCACACCTACACAATAGGAAAATCAAAAGTGACAATCTTTCACCCCATTATTAATTCATCATACTGTTTTAGATTACTTTCAACACTCCATTGAAGATTTCCCTTATGTTACAGTATTTTAATGCTTTAACTCCCAAGATCTTATTGGTAATTCTCCTTACTATCTGCCATATAGTTCTTGTGATGCTAGTTCAGATAATTTAGTATTGGATCAACTAATTATCCCCAAATTGATAATTTTACTAATTCTCATCACTTATCTTGTTGATATTCTATCAATATTGTAAGGAGAAATTCTGTCTTGGTCACTCATGGGAGTTAAAGGGTTAATGACAATATTTCAAATGAATAATACAACCACTAACATTTTCCTTATCTCAGGATTGCGGTCCTTGAAAATATTGAAGAGACCATCAAGGAACTCTGGAAGGTGTGTAATTAGATCCAAATCTGGTACTGCATCAAGCACCATTAACTGAACAAAGAACAAATGCCAAGAGTCAATTTTATATCCAAATCATATTATATCTGCACATATTATATGTTAAACCATTCAGTAAAATGTATTTATCTCCTTATAAGCAGTGCTAGGATGCAATGCACTCACCCAGGAGACCAGGAATTGTTTTGCAAATGGGTTGGCTGTGTAAATTCTGTCTCTCAACAGTGGAATGAAGGAAACTAGGTCAAATGAGGAACTTTCTGTCACAATATCCTGCAAAGGAAATTGAATATTCCAGATTTTTAATGACGTACATAACACATATTATACGTAGCAGTAGTTTTCTTTAACTGCTTTACATCCTGACATTATTCATATTCTCTGCACCATTCTCTTTACATTTCCTATTGTATTAACAAGGATAATTTGTTGGACAATCAGGAACTTCTTATGATTATTTCCATCCTTCATTCTCATGACCTTTCAATTTGATTCAAGGGTAAAACTGTAAGAAAAAAATTAGAAGCCAGTCATTGGTAGGTTGATAGCTTAACAAGTTAATTTTCACCATCTTTGGAGGAACTCCATGTTAAAAAATAGTAATCACTGTTGTTTATCTGAAGGTTAATTCAATTTATCTGTAAACATTTGCCTTAGTCTTCTTATTTCCCTGACTCATACTCACAAGATATGAGTTGGAATTTCCACACCCTGCTGTTTCACATTTCCATCACAACTAGTTAATAGAATTTGGTGTTTTATCAGAGGTTAAGAGATAAATTTGTCTATTCTTGCAAGACATTCTGGTTTCAGATATTCATAATATTTCAGATTTCCTTAGATCAATTCTTTTTAAATCAGTGTCATTTCCATTTCCTTTGTTCTTCAATAATTTTGTATTTATTGTAATCTAAAAGAAATAAAAATATTAGTTGACTGGAGTGAAAAAGTTTTCAACCAGGACAAAATTTGAACCACCAGAGGCTGAGTGTATCCTCCAACAAAGGGTCGCTAAATATTTTCTTCCAAGAGAAGTTACAGAGTTATTGAATTACATCTGGGTTAACTCTTTAATTCCTAAAAGTGACTTACATCTAATCTCTTGTTACAGTCTCATTGCAAACTACAAACACTTAGGTAACAAGAATAAAAGAAATGGTTACCAACCAAAGAACCTCTTGATTATCAAACTAATTCTCCAGGTCAATACCACAGGAAATGCAAGGAGAGAGAATATCTCTACAGATACTGGGGTGAAAAGGATTACTCATAAGTTTTCTTAACCTACCTTGACCAATCTGTCAAGTAGCTCAGCTCCATTTTTTACATTCATATCAGGATCAGCAGCAAGCTGAAAGAAAAAAACTTGACATCTCAGTCTAATAGAAGTGCATAGATCAAGCTTTAGCTGAATGATGGATTTGTGACAGAGCATCATAAAGGTATACAGTAGTCTCAACCTTTTAACCATTTGCCCCTGGACGTATATTTAGAGGTTTGTGTTATATCTCAATGCTTATAACTCCCACAACCAACTATTATTAGGAACATTTTAATTTTTAATCTCAGTTTAACTTTAATTAGATATAAACACCATGAAGTAAAAACTTTACAGCCTGCTTCATAACTGCTGAACACACAATCAAATTGGTGACTTAGAGTGCAATTGATGATGGTAATCTGAACTGAAAGAGTGCAATTTATAATGGTAATAGGACTGAGTGGAGTCCAATTTGGTCTTTAATCATACGAGTGATTAACAAAATCAGACAACTAAGAAGCGGGAGTCCAATTTGTTAATTACAAGTATGATTACAGACACAATTGGATAACACAAAGTCCTGTTACCAATCAATCAAAATTATGACAAAATTTGTGAAAGAAACTAGACAGCAAGTCTACCTTTTCATAAAAAAAACAACAACAGTTAACTCAGCAAAATGTGAGACAACAGCATGTGCACATGACACATTCTGTCCACTTACACAAGCATGACATGTTAACTGTCCCTTTAACTGTCCTATTACACTGTCCAATTACAAGCATGACGTGTACACTATCCTATTTGTGCTTAAATCAGGTAATTTAGTGTTAACAACTGAGTTGAAAACATAGATTAGCCACCGTAAAGGGTAAAAAAGCCAACGTTTCGAGCGTTAGCCTTTCATCAGAGCAATAGAAAATCAGACAACTTAGTGCTTAAATCAGGCTGGTGATAACCAATCGCATTGGAGAATTTTTTCATAGTTTTGATTAGGTTGGAAATCATATACCTGATTTCAAAATCAAATGAGCACACAGTGCAAGTTTGATTTGAAATCACAAAATGATTTCTGGCCAAAATTGCTTGGCATAAAGCTCAAGTACCAATTTGTTACATCCATTTGGAAATCACAATATTTAATCACCCAAATGAAGGATATTAGTCAGAACAATATTTCATGTTTCCTACGTTGCCTCCTTGCCGCCATTGAAAACAACCATTGTGACATGTGAGAGGAAACTCCAAAATTATAAATTATTATTATAATAATTGTAATACCTTTGACAAGGTTAACTTTGACTCACCTTGCTTAGCCCATCAAATACATCATTAAAGAATGGTAACACTGAGCCTCTTGCAACCTTGGCAATGTTATAAAGTGCCTCGCAGGCATAGTAACGAACTCTACTGTCTTGATCATAGAAACAGGTTAACACTGGTGGAATAAGACTTTTCAAATATAGACCAGCATCCTAGAAAGAACATTACAAAACACTTCACATCAGCATTACAATCAAAATACAAGGTTAACTAATGTCAAAATTAATAACCGATATGTCTTCCATCACATATCTTTGAAAATGTCTGAGTTGAAATATTTTACTTTAATGCATTGAGAAATCTTTGCACGAGCCTTCTTAAGGGTCTTCATTACAAAGTGTTGTAGAAGGTGAATAGAAAGAAGAATGTTTTCCATAATTGGCTAAAAGTAGCTCAGATCATTGAAATTCAGGAGGAGAATTCTGGGCAGTACATACAAGTTTCTTCTATCTTTGTTGCCTGCTGAACATGGACACAATTGCAAATATGACAATTATTCATTTAAGTGTGAGTGCTAGATACTTGCCAAGCAGCAAAGCTGTGAGGTAAATATCCACCACTTCCAACAAGGCTAATGAGATTAATTGTTTTAGAATACAACACATAAAAACCAAAATATTTATTTGTTTCTGTCAATATACTAAAAATTGTTGGACATTAAATTCTTGATGTATGATTTTGTCTCTTAGGCTGTTCAGAGGTACTTGCTAATCACTTGCAAATTAGCCAAGCAACACCTGCAAAAAAGCACTATTCATTGCGTGGTGTATACCAGAAATGAATGTCATTGTTCGTGCTTGTCACTGTTCTTATTATTGTTGTAATCTTTGCTACTAAGGGGTAAAATGAGACCAGTACATTAAACTTCCTTGAACATAAACTGACTTCCAATAACAGTTACAGTAGTGTTTAAGTGCTTGACAATTAACAAACACAAACATCAATCACACATCCGTTAGGAGAAAGCAAATATGGTCACCTTTCCCAGAGCTATAGCTGTGGCAGCGAGTCCAATAAGACCTCCTTTTCTCGAGTGATTATTGTGTGAAACTGCAAATTCGTCAGCGAGCACAGCAGTCAGTCGTTTTATTTGCCTCACGTCGTTACTAGCCACAAATTCTTTTACCATTCTAAAGTAATCAAGCAGAAGATTTCACGACGAGGAAGCAAAGAAAACACAAACATTTCAACACGTGTGAATCGTACTTCATTTACAAACATTTTAGTGCAGTGTCTAATCTGATAAGCGAACTTAGGTTTGGTTTATTACGACTTTTCGCTTTGAAGAAGTATACAGCACATAAATAAACGAAAATAGAGCAGGAGATCTCCAAAAATAATAAAGCGATTTGACGACTCGCAACAAGATCACACGTACTAGTACTTGTTCCGGAAAACAGGTCATGACTTGACATACTTACCGCTCAATTTCCAAAGCCGCTGTTTTACGTTTTTCGTAAAGCTTATCATTCAATCCACGAACAACATTCTGTGTCAACGGTAGAAAGTCCTTTTCCGCCATTACAGCGAGGAATCGGACCACATCTAGGCGATTTCTCCCGCTGAGAAATTGAGATTGAAAGAGAAATTGCCCTGTGGCGAATGCTCGCCCCAGTCTTATTTTGTTTTTGCTTCATTTTAACCCGCATACGGTGTCCTCGTGCATTTTCGAGTCTAAGACCTTTTCGATGTACTCGTATTTTATGATATTCGTCTTTAAGATTTCTTTTAATTCTATTTTTTGGATATCTTCAACTAGTTTTAGAGATAAAATTAGCGTTTAATTTTGTGTTCAACGATTTTCTTCTTGCGTGACTTAGCGTCAGGTCGGTGGCAAAGCATACATGCAATGTTTTGGAGTGTTGCGCCAGAAGCACAGATAAAATCCATGCCATGAAGGAACGTCAGTATGTCAGTTAGTATGCAAGTTTCCTCTCTTGAAAGAGTTAAATTTCAAGCTAATTATAGCGGGTAAAAATTACAGGGAAAAGAGTTCCGCCAAGTTGGAAGCAGCTGTTCAGGATAGGGGTGAATCCGCCCAGTTTTTGTATTCATATGCAAAAAGGTTTGGTTTTGAAGTTTTTCTGTTTAGAATCAGTCTGGATTGATGGATTATAAACCTTACTGTCTCATACTATCCTTAAGAAAATTTTGTCCAATTCTCTCGTCTCTCTATTGCGGACGCAGTTTCTCCAAAACGTGGTATACAACGGACAGATTAAAAGTTTATAACCTTAGAGAAAATCTGGATAAGGAACCACGAAAAATTCTTGCAACATCTGGGAATATTTAAATAACAACAACCTCTCAGTTGCAACAACAAACTTCAAAAGTAACAATGTGCAAAGACAAGAATGAGTTGGCCAGGAAAAGCCCCTCCCCTCCCCCTCCCCCTCCCCCTCTCTATTTCCCTCCCTCCTTTCCATCCCCTTCTTTTTTCCTGATTTCTCAGCATTGAGTTGGAGGTCATTATAGGTTTTATAGTTTGTTGAAAATGTTTATTTTTAAGTACACACGGGAAGAATTAAGAGAAAGTGTGGGGTGGGGGGACTTATATTTGTAGAACGAAAGGTGACTTTCCGGGTGGGTCTATGATAAAAATTTGACTTTTTCACTTCCCCTCGACTTATTCGAAGACAAATTTAGTCGATCATCTAATATCCGCGGTAAGATCGAGTTTGTAATGGCATCTCAATGATGACCGATCGGAATACGTCGAATCAGGAAATTCATGAATATACTAAGAATACTACATTGCTTACAGATGCGCAACGCTTTTAGTAAAAATAAGAAAATCAATAAACAATAAATTTTAGCTTTAAGCGGAAGAGGTTCTTTGTTCTACCGCCCACGCGCATAGCCTTTTTGAAACCTCTTCTACAGAGATAGGCCGATATTCGAACTAATCATTAACCACAAACTTAGCAAGAGGACTGCGGTTTGCATATGCGGCTCTTACGTTTCGCTTTGTTCTCTTTGCTCCATTATAAAAGTTGTATCTTGTAGGGGCCACAGCGATCGAAATTCTGGGCTGCACGCACTTGTAGATATATACATATCCGAACTTGCTCAGTTCAATTTTTGCCGACGGGCTATTTCACTCCCCCCAGCTAACAGCTTCCTAGTGTAAATTTTGGACTCTAAACAACAATTTAAAAAACTCATGACAATATTGCGAGTTCACAAACATTTGTTATCCTTTCCTAACCGCATGATTCATCGAAAAAGAGATAAATATAGAAAAAAAACTTCTAAAAAATTAGCCACTGAGCAATTCTTCAGCACAAAATTTACTTTTTCCAAGAATCAGACATGAAGTGGTTTGATATAGAGAAATTGATCATGTTATTTTTCTTTAAAAAAAAAAGGGCTTTGTTTTCTTTATTACAAGCTCTGCAGGTTAACCCTGGCCCCTAATTCAATTATCACCTCTTGACTAATGCTTAATTTATTGTAATTGACACTTGTTGAAATTCGCAAACGTGACAATACCAAATATCCATTATTTTCGTCTGAGTGAGCCAATGGCTTCCTATTGTACACAACAGGCCAAGTAGTACGCCAATATCATCCAGTCACGCAAACTTCTCGAGGCCAATACTGACGCGGCAGAACTTTAAGGCACCTCGTACAGCGAAACTCTTTATTTCGCGCGCAGCATTTGATTTTAAGCGAATTTTCCTCGGAAACATTGCACAGAAATGGCTGACTGTCCTATCATGCAGATTGACGAAGACTCTCCTGCTGTACCGATGTCAAATTGGGAAGCCGAAGCGGTCCATGATTATGGAAAAACGTACGCGCAGAAATATTCCGACCTCAGGGATGATCAAGCCACTGTTTGGACGAGCATGTACGAGAAAAACCTTGGGAGGAAGGTCAGCCGCTTACCGCCATGGGAAGTCTCTGAGACCGGTCGAAAAGAGAGTACAGAAATGCACTTCGGTGACCCTACCAAGAAAGACTTCGCTTCGGTCATGTTAGAGAGAGCAGCAGAAGCCGGTGCACTGACCCACAAGAAACATTTCGAGACTGCGGAGCAACGGAGGGAGAGGAGAAAAGGAAAGAAAACTAAAAGCGAAAGTGAATCCAGTAGAGAAGGAGAGGAAGACAAAAAAGACAAGGAGGGGAACGCAAGGACGTCCTCGCTTTGCCAACATGACGATGAAAACGCTGAGAACGCCACCGGAAAAGAATAATATAACCTGAACCAACACAATACATACAGACCTCTAATGTTCTCTCCGCTGTCCTTGAACTCGGAAATTAAGGTATTTGAGCCTGATTAAAACTACCACAAATACTTGATCTTGGTTGCTGAATGCACATGACTGAGTTTGAATCTTCATTCCGACGACAAAGCTATTTAAAATTGGGTTAATTCACGAACGTTTCATCACAAATACTGGGCGGGAGAATCGATTTGAACTGCTGCTCGAGAAAAAGCGTATGATCGTGTTTAAATTGGCAACATGATGTCTTTATTCAATGTACATTTTTATTTGTTGCTAAAAGCTTTTGAAGGATCTAGATAGTTACTCGTTGTGAAGAAGATGTTATTCATTTCTCGATAAGTTGCTGTATTTAATAAAACCTGATGGATAATTTGATCCACTTTGCGTTACGTGTAAAACAGCCGAAGTGACCTTTATGTCAAAACAAAAGCTTTCAAAGTACTTAGTAAACACCTGCAGAATTTTCATATTTGAGAGAAGGAAAAAGTTTTCTTTCTTAAGTACCTCAATGCAAATATATTTGTCAATATTTCCGTAGCGTGACTGTAGTGTGTTATTTTGCCTTCAGAGCAATAAATGAGGTAGAATATGATGAGATTATTTCAATTTTCGCGATAAACCTTGTAAATGGAGAATTAGTTGTAAATTGATTAGACACATTAGTGTTGTATTAATTCGAAGCTGTACCGAGCACGTTGATTGCTTTCAAAGCTTGACGACTCCACAATCCTGCGATTGCTCTAGTTTCCATTGAAACTAAACGCTGTTTTGGAAACTCTTAGCTCAAAAGCGCTCAAATGCATTCTAATACATTATGCCAGTTCACTCAATTACAATTTCATTAAGTCTCTACTATTACAATAATTCCCGAACTTCGTTGTTGTTGCCTAAATTCAGGAAAGGGCTTGTTTAAAATGTAGCAAAAAGCTCTGTTTAACGGGAAGACTTTGCTATTATTCGTGATAGCTTCTTGAACGGAGCTTCGACGTGAGAAGACTTTTCAAAGCTTGTTTCAACACGCTTTGAATCGATGGACTTGTTTTGATCGCAGTGGCGTACGAACCACTCAAAAAACCCTGTCATCCCCTATTTACACGTACTAAGTTTAATCAAGGGCCACTTTTCATTTCAAACAGTATTCGAAATAATATTGCCTAAGGGGTGCGTTTTGCAAACAGCATGTAAGTGCCTTTCAGTTTAATTATGCAAAACCTAAATATAGGTCAAGACAGATCCAACCTTTATCAAGACGCACATAAAATCTGTTGAGTGCCGCTCTCGCTAAGAGCAGTCCTCTCGACTTCCCGTCGAAAAAAAGTTTTCTTTTATTTTTTGCAGGACACAGGTTTCAAAAACAGTTTAGTTGTTCTCCGATTCTCCTTTTTTGCGTCGCCACGGGCCAAAAATGATATTTGGCTAGACCACCCGTGTGGACAGCGATCGAAAAGTGTAAAATTTCACAGATTTTGTCCAGCGCCCAGCGACTGCAATAATATAGCTCACTAAAGTAAAGAGGACCGATCTTAGCGACAGCGGCACTAAATTGCCTCAACTTCCCGTTAAAACGTGAAGTCCTTGCCCTAGGTTGCCATATTTTAGAAGGATAAACCGACAAATTGCGTAAACAGGATGTGGATCGTAGTCAAGAAAGTTCGCAATTCTATAGCCATTTAATTTTTAGCCGTTCATGCGAGATCGATCGAGCAAAAGGTTAATTGACCGGGGAGACTTAACTCTTTCTGTTCATCAGCAACTCGACCAAAAGCCACCTTTGACAAAAAAATCAGAAACAATCTACAACAAACATTGCATACACCGTAATAAGACATTAGGATGGGAAGACTGTCTCTCTTGTACGTGGGAGTAACAGGCATGCGCATGCTTATCACTTTACTTTCAGCCATTATCATTGTTAGCTATCGTTTGGCGAAAGCAAAGTATGGACTTTAGATTGCGGATCACGGATCATGAACTTTAATATGATAAAAAAAATTTAAGACTGCGCAATAGTTTAAAACGCCATAAGCTTGTTATTCAGAACCAGCTTCTGAGAAATTTATGTGACTTGATTATTTTCGTTTGGTTGATTGTGTGGTTCTTTATTTTTTTTTTAGCAAAATTCTGCTATTATTAAGTCCTTATTACGAAACAATTTGACACGAAGCCATGACTGATCGTAATTCGTGGTTGTTGAAGGTGCTGCGTCAAGGCTAGGAGATAACTCCGGCTGTATCTATTGAACTAACCAAATTACTAACAAACACTCCACTGAGAAGCCCGTTACATAATTATCATTAAAATCGGTTACCTCTTGTATGGGCAGTCTTAACCTAAAAAAACTCAAGTTATAATCACAGCTTATACATGATAGATGTCTTAGCACAAATATTGAAACACTAAATTGGCCATAAAATCAAGATAGAGAAAACTCCAACAGATATTTATTACAATGTTTGAATTTGGAACGGTCAACAATGATTCTGAAGGTATTATTAATAGGTAAGTTTCTTTTTTGAAATGATAATTTCAGTTTTCAGGGGGTAATTTTGCCATGCAATAATTTTTCGTTTCACAGCAGGAGGGTGTCTTGCTTTTCTCTGGAACATTCAGAGATCTCCTCACTGATTTAGAGTCCAGTACAAAGAGAAGGAAGTAATTAGGCTCTTACTTGTAATTAGTCTTGGTACAAAAAATAGAACCAAAAGTCTCACGCAGAAAATTCGAGAGGTCTGTGTGTCTTCTAATATCTTCCCGCGAAATAGCTCTTGCTTTCATGCAAAATTTCCTCCATAGAAATTAGGAAAGTTAGAAGGTAACGAGTTCGGGTGAGTGTTCTTTCTAGTACAGGCGAAATTTTATTCAAAGCTAAACAAAGGCTGTTTTATTAATTTCATATTCGTAAAAAAATGAAAGCAAATTAAATATTAAAAGCAAGTAGTTTTTCAACCAGTCACGTGGTCCTTTGAACACAGCCGATAGATTTCCAGCTATTGGTTCGAAGTGATCTGAACCAGCGCTTCATCATATGAAAAACCAAGAATTGAAACATGCATTATTATTCAATTATTCAAGTTTGAAATTCATCTTCAGGAGCGTTGACTTGTAACATTAACCTTGGGAAAAGTCAGAAAGGGAAGCATTTGACATGAGCTTAAAAATCCGCCACGAAGTAACTGCTTTGCCGTCTTCTTTCATTCTGTCAATCCGAGTGCCTTCAATATCAATATTCTTCTCATGAGTAAGCACACCAGCTTTTTTCACCGAGCTAGCCAGTGTAACTCAGGATGACTAAAAGCTAATCAGTCCCCCTTCTTCAGGACATGTTCTAGTTCCAGTTACTACATTAAGAGAAAAGAAATTACGTTTCATTTTTTTAATTTCGCTTATCTTTGCCATCCTTTTTTCTCAATCCCGTTCATCCTTATTGTCCCTTGGTTTCTTATTGCTGTATTGTGTTTTCTATCTTGAACTAATGTTTCAGTTGAACACTCCCTAAAAACTAGGACAGTTTCGCTTCTCACCGAACAGATACCAAAAATATCGCAACGCAGCTCTTTAAATTTTTGTTAAATTATCCTCAGTCTATGACAAATTTGGTTGAGCCAAGCCAATTTCTCCATCGTATACGATCGTAGCAAAACATTTAAACAGCAGCTACTGCGTTGATAGCGGCGAGCTCCACTGGGACAAGCGATGGTTTTATCATTGCCGTCGACATAACTCGTCGCTCAGCCCAATTTTTGATCCTTGTTTTCCCTCTTCCTGTTTGCATTGCACTGTAAGCTATCGTACCTGCCATGGCAAGCTCTACCAAGCGAAAGCTCGACTGAAAAGCCAGCCACGGCCAGGGAGAAGGATGAACGACTTTGCTGTACATACTGTAAACACCTAACATAGAATAGAACTGCAGCCCACACACTGCAAGGCCTAGGAAACTGGTACCAAGTGTAATCTTAGCCACTTTTGTTGTGCTGGCCTTGCTTGTCGTATTCAATGAAGGACGTACACTTCTCTCCATGGCAATAAGTTGCCGCTGAACATTCTCTACGCTGTTCATGACTCGGCATCCACTATAGATGAAGCTACCGGATAGAAACAAACCCCAGATAATGAAGAATGATTGGCACACGATCAGGAGAGGATCCAGTTCCGGTTTTATGGACGCTGATGTCTCTGCGGTGAAGACAATGATAAAATGTAGAACAATGACAGCAGATAAAAATTTCACATTCTGCAACTTGTTTGGGACGATCTGCATTTTAGTGACTTCAAGAAAAGCCAGATGAATTAGAGAAAATGCTGATGTTAGGCAAGGGTAAGCAACTCCAAAAAGAAGTAGTGTCAGCCATTTTGGATCTTCGATACCATTTTGTCTCGACTCGTAAGGATCTAACAACAGATACGCAGATCTAGTAGATCCCAGACCGAACAGCAACAGGTTGATGGCAAGGAACAAAGGCTTTGAGCCAAATCCTTTTCTGCGGTTAGCGAAGGCTACAGCAATAAATGCATGAATGGCGAGGAGGCCAAATAGGATTCCAAACCCAATCCAGTGTAGTTCCCATGCCTGACCCCAAATTTCCCGCGCAACTGGCCAATCAGGACCCGGTTCAGGCAAGGCTTCCGTGGGCAACTTACTGGGATTGTTTGTCACTGTGGAATTTGACATCACCTAAGAGAATATATTATTTTTTATTGAACTTTGAAGGAGTCCACTCAAACCGAAAAAAAATAAACCAGAATCTAATATATCGTCTAATATATCGTAATTAAAAATCTTAACTGACTCAAGGGCAGTTGGGATAGCAAGTATTTTTGCGTGAACTTGCAGAAATTTCAAATATAACGGACGCAAAGAAGTGTCTAAAAGTAGCACAGTTTGGGCGTCTAGAAATGATTTCCTGCTTCTTCACAGCATTAAGAGTTGTTGCTGTAAGGTGCTGATTGGCATTATCTTCAACGTGAAGCCAGTCGGAAAATTCTTGTTTAATTGGGTAGAAAAACACCAAAATAGGACAGTAATACCAATACAGAAAAAGAATTCTGCGGGGATAAAAAAGATTGAGTACTCGCAAATCGGACAAACTTCAAGTGTTTGCACAAACCGCATGACGTTGATTCCTCGATTGTTAAGAGAGCATGATGCAGCGTTTTCAAAAGGCGGATATCTTCAGCCACAAGCAGGTGAAAAAAATTCGTTATCCAATTTTCACAGCATTTTATCTAAGCAAAATAACGTCCGGATACTCCCCCAGCATGATCTTCGAGAAACGGTTCCTTAAGAAAAAAGATTTTTAATTGATTCAGAGCAGTATTTCATACTGCATGAATCATGCCGATCTTGACGCTGCATCAAAGAAATACTAATATCTTTTAACACGAATCAGACTCATGTTACAGAAAAGCTATGTTTTCTGTCAGCATTCTAATAAGTAAAAGTAAAAAATTGCAGATTTTGGGTGAAGATCCGTGATTTTCTCTCGGCAAAGAACTCGAATCTTTAAAGAGCTTTGCTCAATTGCACTTCGTTGTAATCTTAGTTACGCTTACCTATCCTCTTTCCTTCATGTTCTAGAAATGCCTATCTTTCTTTATCTTGAAAAGTTTTTCAGAGGCTCAAAAAATGACCAATAGCAAAGTTCAGCATGATGTTCATGGTAACAGCAAATGGCAAACCTTGAACCTCTTGCTGGCTGCTCTCAGCCGTTTGTACACTGCAGTGAGAGCTGATTTGCCTCAACTGTGAACGAGGAGTTTTTCTCAATTTTTCCACCGTAATTCGGAGGATTACAGGAAAGGTGAGTCTAATCAGAAATATTTTTTCTATTTACCTCAAGTGCGATTTTGTCCCCACAAGAACCGCTTTCTATGAGCAAATGAATCCGAAGAATACAGAAACTGTCTGAGTTCTCCTCTACACTTACCAACCATCAAAGTTCTGCGACTCTGACGTTTCCAAAGAGAAACCAGCTGACAGAGTGGTTGTTATTTAGGTTACTGATATCATTTACCAGGTGAGTCAGTTCCTATTTTAATCACATTTCTTCCCCAGCGGGATTTTGATGGGATGAAGCATCATGGGATGTAGGCCATGAATAAAGCATAAAGACAATGGTTTCGCATTTCAATTGAATATTTCACGGCCCATGTAGGATATCTCTTCCAAGAAAATGCATTATTACTTTAACAATTTAGGGCGGGGAAACAAGGAAAAGAGGTGACAATGAACAAGCTAACTAGATTTTCAAGTCTTTGTTATGCGAAAACAAAAAGACACGACATTTATTTTGATATTGACCCACTGCCTTCGCCCCATTACCTATCAACTTTGTTCCCTGCTTAATCAATTCGCCTCACGTCTCACTTGACTGTCATGCAATATAACGTTTTTCAGTGGGAGAGTTACAATCATTAATTTTCGCATTGCATGTTACAATCACATGCAATAACAAAGCTAAGAAACTACTTAAAAAATTCTTAACTGTTGTAGAATTTTCCTGAAACGACTTTTCCAATATACCTTTGAACAAGCTAAAACAGCAGCAGCAGTTGCACTTCTGATGGCTTGAAACCTTGTTCATGTTTATTTTAAACGATGCTGAAACATTTCAATTAAGTTAAATCTTATCTCTCAAGTCAAAGTGTGATTTCAAATCGTAGTCATTTTCGAGCAAAAACTCATTATCGTATACGATATTCAAAAAGTCAAATTTCTTGGAACAGGTGCCATGTCAAATGTAATTTAGTAAATGAAACTTTCGTCAAATTATGACCGCTCAGTTTTGAATTGCGTCTTAAAATTAAGACGAGGAGTCAAAAGCTATTCTTCCAACAGAAATTTAATGGAAGGTTCTTCTTCGTAAGGTACGCCGGTTGACATATTTTGCGTTTAAAGTACACGACTAAATTGTGTTAAATAAGATGATTGACTCTCGTGTCAAAAATGATATGGCTCATCACGTACTAGCGGAATAGTCTGGAATCCTTAATTACTACACAGCAGAATCTCACAATAACTTAACCAAATGTTCCATTCGTATCTAAGACTCTGCAGGTTTAGTATTTTACGAGGGGCCAGTAGATTATGAAGAAATAGCAACCATGGCAACAGTTCGAGCAAAGAAACTAACTGGCCGAAATTATGCTTAAAAAGATCAATCTTTGGTAAATTCTGAAAAATATTTGAGGTTCTATGAAATGACATACTTTTGTACATCTTAAAGTAAAAGATGATTTCTGGACTCTAGGCGCATAAAGTTATAACATCTGACAGGAAAGTAAGACTCAAAGAATGTTGCCAGCTTCCCTGTGGGGATTCCACCCACAACAATTTCGAATAATCTCACGTTCGGCTAAAGTACGAAATTAGCTGCAGGAAACTCTTTCACGAG